CCGCCCGTAATGTCTAAGAAATCCCTTAAAAAACTTTACTTTGCTAATGGGTACTGCGCTTCAGAAGCAGTAAACTGCATCCCAATGTAATTACAGCACCACAACTTCAACCACATTTTTGCCCTACACTAATTGCTGGAGCGAGCGAAAGACTGGCAACTTTTTATTCCATATTCGCTGATTACGAAAAAAACATCCCATAATTTTGCGCTTTTTTTTTCATAATCGGTTACTAATTCTAATAAACAAAGAAGCTGATGGGAACTATGTGGGGATCGTTGGGGGGAAGAAACTAACATATTACTCTTCTTCACTCCAATTCGAGAGAACGTGAGGCAGAGGAATAACAGCCCATGCATTTCACGGCCTGTCTTTAAACAGTACTTCATAATAAGTGAACTTCGAAAAGTGCTCTAATCATAAATGATAAGTGGCTAATTTACGATTTGCAGATGACACAGTTCCCACCACTAGCAGGGATTATGGGAGAAATATTGCAAAGATTTAACGCAAAAAAATGGGCATAAAAATTAAGGTAACGAAAACGAATGTGATGCAAAGTGCTCGTATGCTCGCAACCAGACTGCAGACTAACTTAAACAAAGTTAGCAGTTACGTCTATCATGACTAGAAAGTATATGCCGAAATCACTAGCCAGAAAGAGCATGCAAAAGGGCTGCTGGATGACATGCATTTCGTAGCATCGTCGACATTCTCCCTCAAAGTGCCGTACCGGAAGGGACATGCCACATCTTCTACACCTTTGCGCGCTGAAGGTGATGATGTACGAATGCGAAACATTTTCATTTATAAAAGTCTGAGGGCAAGCGCTGTCTGTTACACAAAGCGATGGAGCAGAGAATACATGGCGTTTTTCTTCACGTCCATATAAACAATCAGACCTCAGAACAACTCGCAGGACATGATGATGATCATGCGAGAAAGTAAAATCCGATGGGCGTGACGTGTTGCTTGTTTTGGGCGCCGTGCATCAGTGAGTGGTAGCAACACGTAAACAACCAATCCGGCGGTCCCGAAGAAGTGACAAACATATTTCGAATAGGCAGCATATACTAACAAAGCTGAGAGGCCTAACATAGCTGCATCTGGCATGTCACAGAACCGCAGTAACACTAATAACAAGGTCTCCCACATCGACTGTTCGGACGGTCTTGGTATGTTTGGTAGGCATTTCATTTGGTAATTCAGCCACTACGGCGCGCTGGACAAGTGGTGTGAGATAAAACCCAAAAGAGGATAGAGGTATTTAAGGATTAACCATTATAAGTCTGGCTGTTAATGACAGGCTACGCTAGTTCGTACCACTACTGAAAATTAATGGCGTGATTTCTTACAAGAAATGCAAATCGGGAATGAAGAGTGCACAGATGAAGACCCGCAAAACATGACTGACCAGCCAGTGTGGCATGTTGAACAACGAAAAAGATTCAGCAAAAATGCGTGAAGTACTGATGTCAACTGATAGGATTCAATTCGTATGAAAAGCAGCTTCGACGGATTTTCGAAAGAGGACGAGCTTTGCAAGTTTATGATCTTCCTGAATGACTCCAGAGAAACAAGATGAACCATACGTTGTTAAATCGAACATTAGCATTTTCGTCCCTATTTTTCTGCCGCTGCAAC